GGTGATATTTTGCATATTTCTATTGCCACCTCATGCCATAGATTAGCAGTGCCCTCTTTGCTACTGGAAGCAGAGTCATCAACATCCTTAAGACTAATCAGACTCAAAAACCAATTTAGAAAACTCATCCTTACAATTTTGTTTCTCTAGAACCACTCCCAGTACCAAATGTCTTAGGCTGGGTTCTTTAGAGAAGCAAAACCAGTAAAGCGTAAATATATAGAAAGAGAGATTTATATTAAGGAAATGCCTCTCTCAGTTGAAGAGGCTGGAATGTCCCAAGTCCATGGGAGAGGTTGGAGGCTTCTCCTGATTCATAGCCACAGGGGCTGGCAAACCCAAGATCAGCAGATAAGACCACAGATAAGCTGCTAGCTCAAGGGCCAAGAACCAGAGGTCAGACGAACAGGAGCCAGCTGCAGGACCCAAAGCAAGCAAAAGCCTATGAGCCTTGCCAGAAAGTCCACCTATATTGATGCAGGCCACACTCCCAAGGAAACTCCCTTTCAACTGATTGGCTACTCACAGAAGATCCCATCATGAAGGTAATCACATTGTATTAAATCTCATCATGCAGATGATCACATCATTATACTACATTATAACTGCCGAACCACTGAGAATCATGGCCCAGCCAAGTTGACACACAACCTAAATGATCACACCTATTTTCACAGTTCATCAAAAACAGCGTGTTCTTTTTTGCTTCCTTACTTTGTGTAGTGTCCTCTGCTAGAAATGCCTTTTCTCTCAACTCAATCCATTCTCCAGGGTTCACTTTAGGTCCTTCCATAAACTCTTCCTTCATCATCCCAGTCAAAAAGACACATCTCCTCTTCTCTGAAATCCTGAAACAGCTATTTTGTCCCTCAGATAGGTATTTATTGAGGGCCTAGCTTATGTTATGCTTTGTACTAAGCATTAGGAAAACAATGAGAACAAAACAGACTAGATTCCTGCTCTTCAAGAATATTCAGTCTGTAGAGAGAAGACTGAAAATAAGAATAAGATGACACTTGGGGGCAAGAATCATATCTAATCCATAAGTAAATCTCCAAAATAATATGGGACACTGGCATAAAAAGATGAAGCTATTCATATTGGAAGGATCCCTGGTGGTGCACACAGTTAAGCACTCATTTGCTAACAAAAAGGCAGTTCAAATCTACCCAGCAGCTCCATATGAGAAAGACTTGGCAATCTGCCCCCGTAAGGATTACAGCCAAGAAAACCCTATGGGGGCAGTTCTACTCTGTCACATGGCATTGCTACAACAACATTCATACTGGAGGTAGCCAGTCTGGGGCTCAAGCCTCCCCAGTTCCCAGTCAGGCTCAGTAAAGGCTGAAACGATCAATACATTGAAATATGTATATCAGTTAGAAAGCTGTACTATAGGTCGGGGCTTCTGAAACTTTAGCATGAATAAAAATCAACTGGAGGGACTGTTAAAACACAGATTGTTGGGTTGCACCCTCAGAAACGCTGATTTAGTCGGTCTGGGGTAGGACCAAAGAATCGGCATTTTTAATATGTTCCCAAGAAATGCTGATGCTGCTGAGTGAAGAGGAGATTTGAAGAGGAACTCTTACTCTTTACTTTATAACTTTGGCTTCGTTTGCCATTTTTATGAGAAACATGTATTTCTTTAGTAATCAAAAAATAATTAAACAGAATTTTAAAAGGAATCTTAATTGTCTTTTCAAAGACATACAACACCATGGGTCATTCCTTCACTTGGGTTGAGTATTTGAAGAAATCTTATCAAAACTACTTAATTATAAAAGAATTATACAATTGGAAAAAGTTTTAAGTATGACTAAATAGCTCTGACAACCAATTTTTAATTTTAAAAAGTAAAATTATCCGAAGTCATGCAAAATAGCTAGGAAAAAAAATTTGCTTACCAGTTGTAAAATAAAATCTACCTAGACCCTGTTGTACATAGGGTCACTATGAGTTGGAACCAATTTGTCAGCACCTAACAACGTTACAAATGGTATATGAATTTCTGTAAATGTATGAAATAGATATAAATTTATATACACACTCATATATGTATTATATATATTTCCTACCTCTCTACACTAAAGAGGATCTAAAAGCAATGCCACTCCCATAGAAATGAGCACACCAGATACCCAGATATTGGTTTCTAAAAACCATTCTCTACTAAATGAAACCTGGACTCACTGGAGAAATGGCCGATTCCATGGGAATCTATTAGTTCAGCCTGTTATAAATAAATAAATAAATAAATAAACACAGGGGATAGGAAAGCTCTATCATATAGCAGAATGACAACCAATAACTCTAGAAGTAATGATGAATTTAGAAAAATCACCATTTGGTAACCATCATATTAAAAATTGATTCACTCAAGGATCTTCAAAGGATGCTAAAACTAGTGGATAAAACTCTAATGAGGAACAGGATATTTACATTGCCTTCAAGTCGATTCTGACTCATGTTGTTGTTGTTAGATGCCGTCAAATCGGTTCCAACTCAAAGAGACGCTACATACAACAGAACAAAATACTGCCTGGTCCTGGGCCATCCTCACAATAGTTGTTATGCTTGAGCCCACTGTTGCAGCCACTGTGTCAACTAATCTCCTTGAGGGTCTTCCTCTGTTTCACTGACCCTCTACTTTACCAAGCATGATATCCTTCTCCAGAGACTGGTCCCTCCTGATAACATGTCCAAAGTACTTGAGACGTCGGTGCTTCTAAAGAGTATGTTGGCTGTACTTCTTCCAAGACAGATTTGTTCATTATTCTGGTAGTCCATGGAATATTCAATATTCTTCACCAACATCACAATTCAAAGGCATCAATTCTTCTCTGGTGTTCCTTATTTATTGTCCAGCTTTCACATGCATATGAGGCAATTGAAAACACCATGGCTTGGGTCAGGTGCACCTTAGTGTCAAAGTGACATATTTGCTTTTTAACACTTTAAAGAGGTCTTTTGCAGCAGATTTGCCCAATGCAATGAGTCATTTGATTTCTTGACTGCTGCTTCCATGGGTGTTGATTGTGGATCCAAGTAAAACAAAATTCTTGACAACTTCAATCTTTTCTCCATCTGTTGTGATGTTGCTTATTGGTCCATTTTTTAAAAATTTTGTTTTCTTTATGTTAAGGTACCATCTATACTGAAGGCTGTGGTCTTTGATCTTTATCAGTAAGTGCTTCAAGTCCTCTTCGTTTTCAGCAAGCAAGGCTGTGTCATCTGCCTATTGCAGGTTGTTAATGAGTCTTCCTCCAATCCTGATGCCCGTTCTTCTTCATATACTCCAGCTTCTCAGATTATTTGCTCAGCATACGGATTGAATAAGTATGGTGAAAGGATACAACCTTTATGCACACCTTTCTTAACTTTAAAAAACACAGTATCCCCTTATTCTCTGACTCAGTAGTGACCCTACAATAGGACACAGTAGAGCTGCCCCATGGGGTTACCAGGGCTGTAAATCTTTATGAAAGCAGATTGCCACATCTTTCTCCCTCGGAGCAGCTGGTGAATTCGAACCGCCGACCTTTTGGTTAGCAGTTGACCACTTTAACTACTGCACCACCAGGACTCATAATATAGGTAGGAAGGCAATAATTGCTTGAAAAATAAAGGAATTTTCTAGAAGATTCCTAGCAACAACTTGGCAGACAGGCTAGTCTCCTACAAAACAAAGAAGTAGAGATTCTTTCTTTCCAACTCATATTCTTCCCAGAAACAACTTGTTTCCTTAGATTGTTCCTAATGACAATTGTTAACATTTGATTTGGGGAGTTCATCTAGTATTGTTATTGACGATAACAAATACAGAAAGAATTCTCGACTGTCTTTGCACTTGTTAGGTGTGTCTCACACCTAATAGGCGTGAGAATTCAGCTGTTTTCCTTAAGAAACATATACATACACCGAGTTCCATTTATTTATTCATCCTTCATCTACATAATATATTTATAAATTTGCTATATGCTAGACTCTGTGTTGGGCTCTATGAAGAATGGGCAAACACAAATGTTCCCTGCCCTGATGATTCGAGTAGGAGAGATATGACATAAATAACTACTTACAACAGCAAGCAGAATGGGGGAAGTGCCCCCCACCCCGAGCAGCATGGTGCAAGGGGAAGGCCATGAGACTAAGAATCTGCAGGGGTGGGGCCTGGCATCCCAATCATTGCATGAACATATGCAAGTCACTGGCCTTCACTGAGTCCGAGCTTCCTCCTCAGTAAATGGCAAGTTGAGACGAATCTAAGGATGGCAGGTCCGTACATAGCATCTGAGATGCATTACATAGAAACCACACATCGATCACAGTACTCCTTCCCGATGTGCCTGCAAAGAGTTTCCAACACAGAGCTCCAGGCCACCACTAATCCAGCAAACATATTAGCCATCCCCGAGATAGCAATTTTCTAATGTTCCTTTCACTATTCTGCCAAAGTCAGAAACCAGGACAAGGTCCCAAAGGCATCCACTGCTTGAGCTCAGATAGTACTGAGACTGCAGGCTTCGCAGAGAAGCAAAGCCAGCTGCAGCATATTGAAGGGCAGCTTAACTGGGCTCCCGATGTTGCTTGCTGGCTTAGTGGTTCAGAGCCAGACTGCCTGAGTTCAAACCCCAGTTCCATTTAGCAATTGTCAAAGCTTGGGCAAGTTGACTATGCTCTCTGTGCCTCAGTTGCCTCAACTGCTGTTGTAAAGATTAAATGGATTAATGTTTGTAAAGCATTTGGGACAGTGGCTAGTGTGTATACCAAAAGAATCAAACCAGTTGCCATCAAATCAACTCCGACTCATGGCAACCCCATATGTCAGAGTAGAACTGTAGATTTTCAATGGCTGTCATCTTTCAGAAGTAGATTGCCAGGACTTTTTTCCAAAATGCCTCTGGGTGGATTCAAAACATCAACCTTTCAGTTAGTAGCCGAACACTCAACTGTTTGTGCCACTCAGGGACTCCTCCAGTGTGTTAGCAAACTCTATGTAAGTGTTGTTAAAGATATTGTTTACGGCGTATCATAGCTCTTCTTCATCCCAGGGTATGGTGAAGGATGTGGGGATAAGGCTGGGAGCTATAGGTTCTGCTTATGAGGTTAAGTGAGGGTTTCCCAGCCCTGATTGGTGAGACTTGATCTGGGGAGCCCAGACCTCATCCCAGTACCCACAGTCTCCTCTATGGCCTTGTTCTGAGGTCTGAAACTGGAATTGGACACAGGACATGTCCCAGTCTCTGGAATGGGTCAGTCTGAGACAGTGCTCCCAGCCACTGTGTTCATAGTCTACACCTAAGGAGGGTTTATATCAAAGAAGTTAAATTAATTCCTGTTGGGGATAGAAGGCAGTTTCCTCCCTGAAATCTTTTCTGTCTGTGCTTCCTTCACTCCACCCTCAATAAATGTGCAGGATAAGATATCGCTGAGGCATCACTGCTTCCACTTCCCTTTGAACTCTCAGTTCCCTTATTTTAAAAAATATCTTGCCACAAGGATCATTTCTCAACACTTCCTCTCCCAGGAGCCTCAGAAGCCCAGATCAGCTCTGTTCCTACTAAGGCTACCCCCACAGGAGGATGAAGGTGCTCACGGTCACCATCTCCTTCCTCATCATCGCTTCCGCCCTCGGGTCCAAGCCTGAGTCCTTATCATGTGAGTCCAGTGTCTCATCTTCCTTCCCACCTAGTCCCTGTAGGGAAATGAGCAGGAGTGAGGTAGCTGGGGTGTGAGGGGGAGGGACTGTACAAGGAGGCCTGGGATCTTGTTAACCTGGCTTCACCTCACCCTCCCCAGGACAACTCCCCTTTCCCCTCCAGCCTGACTCTCCACTCCCTCAATTCATCTCTGTGCCACTAAGCAAAACAGCTTCCAACCCATTTGAGGGATAGTGGTTAAGAGTTCGCTGCTAACCAAAAGGTCAGCAGTTCGAATCCACCAGTCACTCCTTGGAAACCCTATGGGGCAGTTCTACTCTGTCCTATAAGTTCGCTATGAGTCGGAATCAACTCGACAGCAATGAATTTGGGTTTTTTTGTTGTTGTTGTTTACTCTCAAGAGATGAGGAGCAGTGTTTGGTGCTCTCAAGGTCATTTTGCCTATTGCCCTGGCCTCCTGAGAGTTGGGCCAAGGCCACTTCAGTATCACCCTACCTGTGCGTACAGCCTTCCTTAGGAACTGGTTGCAGGTAACACTACAGTGGGGGGTTGGTCTGAGGGCACCTCGTTCCGGCTTATTTCTTAGGGTGAGCTGCCTTTACAGACAATCCAGACCATTCCTCACCCTTCTGTATTCTATTTCCTTCCCAGAGCTGGGAGAGCGGGGTGGGCGGGGGGACACACACACAAAAAAAAGAAGAACCAAACCCATTGCTGTAGAGTCAGTTCCAACTCATGATGACCCTGCGTGTTACAGAATAGAACTGCTCTATAGGGTTTTCTTGGCTATAGTCTTTACAGAAGCAGATCTCCAAGGCTTTCTTCCCCAGAGCTGCTAGGTGGGTTTGAACCACCAACCTTTAGGTTAGCAGCCGATCACAGTCTCCTGGGGGGAAACACACAGGTTATTAAGTAAAACTAGTCTGAAGTGAATGAGAGCATTGAGGAGCCCTGGTGGCACAGTGCTTAAAGTGCACGGCTGCTAACCAAAATGTCAGTGATTTGAACCCACCTGCTGCTCCGTGGAAGAAAGATGTAGCAGTCTGCTTCTGTAAAGATTACAGCCCTGGAAACCCTATGGGGCAGTTCTACTCTGTCCTATAGGGTTGCTATGAGTCAGCATTGACTCAACAGCAACAGGTTTGGGTTTTTGTTTTTTTGTTTTTTTTTTTAAGTGAGTGGGAATCCGCATAGCTTGGTTTGCTCTCTGAAAGGCCATTTGTCAGCTCAGAGAAATAAAATGGGGAGACTCAGAGCTATGACTGGGTCTTGAGGACCAGAAGAGCCCCTATTCCAGTCTTTGGGCAGTGAGACTATGCCAGGAGTGGTGCAGATAACAGGACCAGGCTGTTCCGTTTCCATCCGAGCATCTGGCACCTGAGTGACCTATGAGATCACCGTGTTCACACACTCACACCTCTGTCCAGGTCGGTTGTGGAGTGTGCGCATGTCCCATGACTCCACTCCGTAGCTACCACATGTGTGTGCAGGGCCCTCCTACAACAGCCCTCCTGCTCCTTCAGTAACTTCAAGCTTAGGGCAACTTTGCTGTCACCCCCCGTACTTCCTATCAGAGTCATGAAATTTCGGAATTGGAAAACCAAAATAAACCAAACCAGCTGCCATCAAGTCAGTTCTGACTCATGGCAACCCCATGTGTGCAGAGTAGCACTGTGCTCCGTGGGGTTTTCAATGGCTGTGATCTTTCAGAAGTAAATTGCCAGGCCTTCCTTGCAAGGTACCTCTGGGTGGGTTCCAGCTGCCAGCCTTTCAGCTAGGTGTCAAGCATTTAACCATTGCACCAGCAGGGACTTCTTCAGAATTGGAAAGTAGTTGGAAAAATCACCTAAACCAGTGATTTTTAAAGCTTTTTAAACCATGGAACCTTTTTTTCAAGCAAAATCTTATACTGAGGGCCAATACGTAAAACAGAAAAAGTGATTGAGTGGGTGCAACCCCCAGGACTCCTCTCTCTCAAATGCATCAGTACCTCCAAGACAGTTCCCGAAGTACCTCAGAACTCTAGGGAACTTGATTTAAAAACCACTGATCCAGTCCAACGGCCTCACTGACAGAGGAGGAAACTGAGCAGAAAGGGGAAGTGAAGTGCCATGGGGGCAGTGGTGCTTCAGTGGTAGAATTCTCACTTTCCATGTGGGAGACCCCAGTTTGATTCCTGGTCAATGCACCGCATGTGCAGCCACCACCCATCTGTCAGTGGAGACCTGCAGGTTGCTATGATGCTGAACAGGTTCCAGCAGAGCTTTCAGATTAAGAGGGGCTAGGAAGAAAAGCCTGGTGATCTACTTCTGAAAATCAGCCACTGAAAACCATATGGATGACAAAAATCCAATCCACAGCCAATCATGGGGATGGCACAGGACAGGGAAGCACTTCATTTCCTTGTGCCTTGTGTTGCCATGAGCTGGAGGCTGACTCAACGGTGCTAACAACAACCAAGGGGTTATGGGCACAAAGCCAGCAAAGGCAAGGCTGCGTTAGAATGGGGGTGTCCTGACTCCCAGAACAGTGTCCTTGGGGCTTGATGGGGCATCCTTTCCTCTCTGCAGGGTGTGGGGCCAGTGAGGACACAGACAGGATGGTGGGACTGGGAGGGGCTGGGTCTACATTCCCAAATGACATGTTTCCCAATCCCAATGATTTCTTCCAAGTATCCATCCTATTTGGTACATCTTCCCCCACAAAGGTATGCAGGTTGTGTGACCTTGGCCAAGTCTCTTGCCTCCTCTGCAGCTGCCACACAGGATGGTGAGCGCTCACTGGGAAGCTCTGTGCTTGCTCCTCTTCACTTCCTGCTTGAAAGTCCTCAGCCAATCTTCTGGGAGGAGCTGAAGAAAGGGAAGGAGGGTGATTGCTGGTGAAGAAGGAGGCAAAAAGGAGCCAGAGAAGGGAATGGAGAGGGAGAAGAGAGGATTCTCCAAGTTCTGGGGGCTCTCTCCTCCTCCCTCCTCTCTCCCACCCCGCAGGTTTCAGGAGCCGCAAGCAGGCACAGCCTTCTGACAAGGGGCCCAATCTCAGCTTCCCTCCCCCCTTTCTTCTCAGGAGGACCTTACCACCCTGCTGAGTGCTGCTTCCCCTTCATTACCCATACCATCCCGCGTATCTGGGTTTCAGGTTATTATGAGACCAACAGCCAGTGCATCAAGCCCGGAGTTGTGTAGGTGGCACCCAGACACCCCTCTGGGGGAGAGGGAGAAAGCAGGTCCTGGGGGAGGGGAGAAACACAGAATGAGGTCTCCCCAGGGCACCTTCCGATTGTATCAACACAGGAACAGACAGCTGAGGTGTAAACTGGGGTTTTCTGTCCTGGCCACTGCCTGCAGGGAGCCCTGCAGATGCCGGCTTCCTGGATGGAGATGCATCAGGGGAGGGGAGGAGAAGGCAGGAAGACACTTCCTGAGAGGATTACAGAGGGTGGGAGGCACAGAAACTAGGTGGATCTCTGCCCCTTAACGGGGTCTGGTCCTGAGCTGTCTCTAACAAAGGTCAGGTGGGAAGTTTGGGAGGAAAGGATAGGCTGTCTCCTCCCAGCTGCTGACCCCTCAGTGTATAATCCTTCCCCTTCTTTCTTCACAGCTTCATCACCAAAAAGGGCTATCCCATCTGTGCCAACCCCAGAGATGACTGGGTCCAGGACTACATCAAGGACATGGAGGAGAACTGAGTGGCCCAGAAGTAGTACAGAAGGCCACAGCTTAAGGAGAAGAAGCCAAGGCCCGCCTCCCACTCCCAGCTCCAAGCCCCAGCCACCCCCTGGGAGTTGCCCTGCCTTTAATGAAAGACCACCCATGCCTATCCCTGCCCTCATTTATTCTTACTGGATTTGCCCATTGGCAGTTGACTGAGTACACTGGTGAGCTGAGCCTGGGCTTCAGCATCAATTCTCATACCGCAGAAATTTTTCCAGAGCCTGGCGCAAAAAGCAGGTCAGGGCTACAAAGGGGGTAGTGAGAAGCAGAGCAGAGATTTGAGAAAGAGGCTCGATGAAAAAGGCCACCTCTCAACAACAGTAATAATAACAGATACCATTTTCTTAGCATTCTCTACATTCTGCTAAGCCCTCTATATGCATTACCTTATTTAAGCCCCCGAAAAAATGTGGAAACCAGAAATTATCATCAGATTTTACAGCTTAATCTTCATAAAGCCCTCTTCATAGCAGTCCAATTCCCTAGTTCTTTTTTGCTGTGTTTCTCCCAAGGCTTTTGTTCCCTGCTGTCTGGGATAGGATGATTCATGCACATAATTTATCCAATTCTGCCCCTTCCGTGTGCACACACTAGGTTGAACTATATTGTTTTATTCATCTTTGTATTCCCCACAACGCCTAGCAGAAACCTTGCCCATACTGGGTGCTCAGAGGATGGAGGGATGGACAGATGGATGGATGGATGGATGGGTGGGTGAATGGATGGGTGGGTGAATGGGTGGATGAAGGAATGGGATGGGGTGGGTAGGTGAGTGGGTGGATAGATGAATGAAGTAAGACAGGAATCGAGACCTATGGTCCCAGAATAACACCCAGCATCTCCAAAGGTTTTCAAATCCATCTTCAAGGATCAAGGAAGAGTTCCATGTACTCAGAGTAATAGCATACCCATTGCAGGGACTATGGTGATGCTACCCTAGCTTAGAGCCTTCCACGGACAAGGGCCAAGAGGGGGCCTGCATGCTAAAGATACAACCAGACGTCCTCAGACTTCCTCACCTCCACAAACAGAGGTCAAGAGGGTACCCCACTGCCCTCATAAGAGCTTCACCACCACTAACTGCTTTGAACCCACCAGGACTAATTACTTTATATGTGCTACCCTATTTATGAGCAGTCACACCAAGGTAAGTGCCATAAGCATCTACACATTCCCTATTCTGCCCCTGCCTCCCTCTACTCTCAACTCCTGAAACGCTTCTGCTATGCCTCTGAGACTCATAGACCATCATGCCAAATTCCCCTGTATCTTCAGTCTCCTCTCTGAACATTGCCTGCAACCTCTTACTCAAAGGAAAGCATGGCTCTCTCCTGAAAGCGTTTCCTCAGCAGCCTTCCCAAGGGCTTACTGCCTTTCTGCCCTCAGCCCCCGTGTCCCTGGACTTGGCTCCTCATTGCCACATCCCATTCTACGGCAGAGATCTCACTTATTCTCCTTTTATTCTTAGACACACAGCTGGTGAAGGGGAGCCAAGCCCAAGGGACCTTTACTGCGATCTATTGGACTGGGCTGCCTGAGTTGCTGTGTGGCTCAGGGGAACAGTCTTGACTGAGACTGTGGGAGTGGTGAGCAGAGGGAAATTTTCTTGAAGGATGAAGTAGAGTTGGCCAAACAAAGTATTTTAGGGAGCGGGACCAGCATAAGTAAAAGGCATAAAGGGGTAAAAGAGTAGGTATGTTGAGGAATGGCATATGGTTCGTTATGGCACAGGGCAAGAAGTGGAGAGAGACTGGGTCACTCATAAAGGAAGTTGAATACCAGGCAAAAGATTTTGCATTTTAATCTGAATGCTATAGGAAGTCTTTGTTGGTCTTTAAGCAGTGGAGTGAGCTGGTCAGATCTGGACATCGGGGTGGACAGTGTGGGACAGGGATGGGAGGGAGTAAGGACAGAGAAGGAAGAACAGGTAAAGGGCTGTTGTAATCTTGGCTCACTATTTGAATTGGAAACTGGAGAGTGGGGAAGAGACACAGGCTCTGTCAAAACTCTAGCTGTGTAGGGGAACCCATTGTCATCCAGTCAATTCTGATTCATAGCGATCCTGTAGGAAAGAGTAGAACTGCCCCATAGGGTTTCCAAGGCTGTAATCTTTACAGAAGCAGACAGCCACATCTTCTCCCACAGAGAAGCTGGTGGGTTTGAACCCCCAACCTTCCGGTTAGCAAACAACTGCTTTAACCACTGTGCCACCGGGGCTCCCTTGTGTGTGGGAGGGGGAGTCAACACCTGCACATTTCCTCCTCTGTCCCATCCCCCACTCCTCCTCAGCTCGCAAGGCCCATTCTCTATGCCCTCTGGAGCTCATGGCCGAGCAACAGCAGAATCCCACGGAGCCACATTCTACCTCTGTCCAGCCCCAGCTCCTCTTCTGCCCAAATGTGGCACAGTGGGTAAAGGAAAAGGCATTAAAAGTCTTAGGCGTCTCAGGGATTTGCCAGCCAAAGCTGACCTGCTGGAGTGAATGTTTAGGTCTGGGAAACGTGGAGAGGTGGGGAGGAGGGAGGGACAGGAATGCCAGCCCAGCAACGTTCCACAAAATTCATTCCTAAAGAAATGAGCATAAAAGTGCTCCGGCACAGGTGTTATGGGAGCAACAGTAGAAACGAACATCTCCCAAAGTTGTAAGGATTTTAAAAAAAACAGTCACCATGAAGTCCATTCCGACTCATGACGACTCCTCGTGTGTCAGAGATGAACTGTGCTCCATTAGGTTTTCAACGGCGCATTTTTTGGGAAGTAGATCACCAGGGTTTCCTTCTGAGCCACCTCTGGATGGACTAGAAAAAACCTCCAACCTTTTGGTTAGAAGCTGAGCGCATTTACTGTTTGCACCACCCAGGGACTGTTGTAAGGATTAAATATCAGTAATTCCAATTACTGAGCACCAGCCACTTTCTGTATGTACAGAGTGATGATGAAGAGTCCTGAGCTTTTGCATTAGACAAGCCGAGGGTTGAGTTCTGACTGCGCTGCAGTCAGTAAATTACATAAGTCTATAAATCATGAAGCCTCTGTTTCCTAATTTGTAAAATAAAAATGATGTGATCCAGTTTATAGGGTTTTTGTGATGATAAGGTACATAAAAATTTAGTAGGATGCCTAGAATGTAAGCACTTGATAAATTATATTATTATCAAATTAAATGAGTTAATATTTGTAAAGCATTTAGAAATGTACCTGACACAGAGTGAGCACTGTATAAGTATCATGAGCTCTAATTTTCATAGCAATCCAATAAAACAGACATTATTATCCCCATTTTACTAATTAGGAAAATGCCCCAGAGAGTTTAAGCAACTTGTCCAAGGTCACATAGCTAGTCATTGTTGGCCGTAGAGTCAGGGTTGGATAACCTGTACCAGCACCCAAGAAGAATCAGCTGACAAACCTAAAACCAGTCAAAAGTCCAATGTCCAAAGAGATAAGAGGCCATTGACAAATAAATCAAACAGGGACTCAAGGGACAGCCACTTTGTTTTTTCAGATATTGGTGGCATAATCTGTGACATGAAAGAATGTGAGTTCAATTAGGTGTCTTCTGATGATGTGGAGGGACATCCTTCTTGAGGCCACTAAACCCTATTGTTGCCTCAGCTTGTGCTGTCTCTAATCCTGCTTTATGTTCAACCTCCCAAAGATGATCACCTTGGGGACACTGGGACAGTTCAACCCTCCCTCCCAACATAGAGATGGTGGCAGGGACTTCACCAGGTATCATAATGAAATCAAACAAGTCTGGTTTTCAGTACTGCCTACACAACTTCCTATCCACGTGACACTGGGCAATTCATTCAACCTCTCTAAGCTTCAGTAGGAGCCCTGGTGGTGCAGTGGTTAAGCATTAAGGCTACTAACCAAAAGATCAGCAGCTCAAATCCACTAGCCACTACTTGGAAGCCCTATGGGCAGTTCTACTATGCCCTATAGGGTCGCTATGAGTCGGAATCAACTCGACGGCAAAGGGTTTGGTTTTTTGGTTTTAAGCCTCAGTAAGGGACCAAGGTGGCAACAGTTTGTGCACTCAACAGCTAACTTAAAGGTTGACAGTTTGAACCAACCACCCAGTGGCACCACAGAAGACATTTTGGCAATTTGCTTCCTTTAAGATTACAGCCAAGAAAACGCTATGGAGCAGGTCTACTCTGTAACATATGGGGTCACCATGAGCCAGAACTGACCCTACAGCAACTAATAACAGCAAGCCTCAGTGGCCTCATCTGTAATAATAACAGCAATAATCTCTACTCCATGGGACTATTGTGAGGATTAAATAAAACAGGGCATGCAAAGTGGCTGGCACACAACAGGCATTCTTCACACACTCCCTTCCCCTATTCCATCCCCTGCACACCATGCATAACTTCACCTCTGAGCCAGGCCCCGCCCTCCACACCCTACCCCGGGCTTCCCAGAAGCCTGTTGTTTTGCCTTCTCCACCAACCCCAAAGTGGTCAGAGTCCAGAGAGCTGGGCAGTTGGAGAACGGATGACCAGCGGCAAGGAGGACATCCCCGTTCAGCTCTCCCCTGAAGCTGTCTGGCCCCACTGAGAAGATGAAGGTCTCCATGGCTGCCCTCCTCCTCCTCTTCCTCACATTCACGACTACTTCTGCTTCTCACAGCCAGTCAAGTGAGTCCATGTGTCCATGTAGGGCAGGCATGACAAAGGGAATGGTGGAACTGGCAATGAGGTGACACCAAGAGCCCTGTCAGGTGTCTGTCCTCATCAGCCCCGGGGCCTCTTGCCATCTTCCTCCACAGATGCTGTCCTCAGATTACCCCATCAGCAGGCCCTGTATGTAAGGAGAATGGGCTGTGGTTCAGGAGCCTCTGGGTTGAGCAGTTCCAGGGAGCTGGGTCAAGGGTTCCAAACCTAAGCAGTCCAAAGGATGGAGAGCAGGAGTGATCGTTTAGAATGAGTCAAGGAAGTAACAAAAAAGACCGTAAATGTATGCCATGAAGGGGAGGGCAAGGCAAGAGAATGAGAAAAGCAGTGACTGCTTTGGGAGAAGAGATAAAATGAGTTTGTGGAAGCAGGTTGAAGTGAGCCATTTGAGACTAAGTTTAGAAATGGGGAGTCTGAACCTAAACATCCTTTCTTCCCGGTGGCTGGTATGGATTGCTGGGACAACCATGACAGCCAAAAGGAGTCCCATTGGGCTGGCCAGTTGTGCCATTTGGGGGACCCATGACCCCTCTTTCCATCCCCCAGCCTAAAATGAAATAAAGTCTACAGTAAAGAGGAAAGAGATTGAAAGGTTTTGGAGCTGTGAGAAGAGGAGTGCTTGGGACCTATCCAAAAACCAAAAACCCATTGCCATTGAGTCCATTACTACTCATAGCGACCCTATAGGACAGAGTATAACTGCCCCATAGGGTTTCCAAGAGTGTCTGGTGGGTTCAAACAGCCAACCTTTTGGTTAGCAGCCAATCTTTTAACCCACTATGCCACCAGGGCTCCTGGGACCTATAGAGAATGAGATTTATGTTGCCCTCTCCCTACCCCGTTGGCTCTATCATCATTTATGATAGCCTGGTGACTAGGAAGAGACCAAGACATTCAGCCCTTCCATATACCCACCTTAGGCTGCCCCAGCCCTTCTTATCTCCCCTAAGACTGCCCTTGGCATATAGCCTGCCCTGACTGCCTGAATAAACACACAGAAAGCAAGGTCCCCTGTACAAAGTCGAGCACACCATGTAATCTGCTCACATACTCTCAGGATGACCCTGGTCTTTGTAAACTTGGCTTTGAGAATCAGGGATGTGAACATCACTTATGGAGGGACTGTGTGCAGAGGTGCCTCTGGAGGGTGGGAGGGGCAACAATGCCCTTCGAGGTCAATGAGACCAGTGCAATGGGTTCACATTTCAAGTAAGAGAAAATTGCCCACCCAAAGCATGGGTCAGCCAGATGGTGCTCTTCTGATGTCTCAAGTTTGCCATCAGGTGGAGCAAGGGGTCAGGCTACAAAGGGATTCACACTCTGCAGGTTTAAGGGTTGTGTAAAGTCTCTGGTCTGGACTCCTGTGTGATATCCCCAACCCATCAGTATTCAGGGAAGCTCAAGGGTAACACAGCACTAGCAACCAACCAAGTCCACCATCCTGGTGACAGCCAAGGGTAATGAAAAAAGAGCCATCTCCAGGGGATGAAGAGTGGTCACTACTACCATTTGCATGCCAGGCTTTGAATTAAGGGCTTTACTAGCATTTTCTCAATTAATCTTCACCACGATCCCATGACATAAGCATCTTTTTCCACTCACTTAATGGATGAGGAAACTGAAACCTAGAGAGATGAAGAAATTTGCCCATAATTCAAATCATTCAGTCAAGATTCCATTCCAAGCTGTCTGACCCCAAAGCCTAAACATTACACTTTTTCCTCCTAGCCTAACCTCATGTGCTCCACCCTCTCACCCTCCTTCCTGTCCTCAGCTTCTCTAATGCCTCTAGGATAAAGTCCAAACTCCCTACCATAGCTCAGAAGGTGGGGTGACCTGCACCTCCTCTCTCTCCAGTGTCATCTCTTCCCCTCCTTCCTTCTCACCATGCCCTCCAGTCACCCTCAACTGCTTAGTGCTCCCCAACCACTTAGCTTCCCCTACCTTCAGGCTTTTGTACATTTCTTTCTTCCAGATCCTACACCTTTGTCTCTCCTAATCCTTCAAGAATCAACTCCAGTACCGCTGTTTTGTGACTTCTTCCTCAATCATCCAGGCTGGGCTAAGGCCCCCTCAACCTGTTTGCATTCAGTCTATTCCATCACGGACCACACTCTATTGTTTTTCTTTTCATTTTCTCTTTTTACCTTGATTAGTGTTTAAGCCCCTCAAGGGTGGGTACTGTGTCTTCCTCATGTTTTTATCCCTATAGAGCCTGGCAGGTAATATGAGCTGGATACATGTTTGCTAAATGAAGAAATGAATAAACGAAAGAATGAACCAACTCCCACATCATTCACAGCAAATATGCAGAACCAAGTCATTTGTCCTTGATGAAACTCAGTTCAGAGGCTGGAGGTTCTACACGTATGTGCCTCAGAAGGGTTCATCTTTTTCATTTTCTCTATTACTCATCAAATTGTAATCAGTCCCTGCTAACAAATGGCTTTGCTATCAGAGAAGTGGGATAGAATTGAGGGGAGTTGAGATGGCCAGCCATGGGCTCCCTCCCTGCCTCTGTGACTCAGCTTTCAATGTGATTCCCTCAGAAATTCCTGAGTCAGTGAACCAACGAGTCACCTGCTGCCTGAAGTATCATGAGAAGGTATTGCCCAGGAAACTGGTGGCAGGATACACGAAGGCCCTCAGCTGTCACCTGCCAGCAATCATGTAAGCACATCCCTGCAGATATTTCTGTGGAGCAGAAGGGGAGCCCTGGGGACAGGAATGGGATGCCCAGAACCAAGAGGTCTTTATGCTAGAAGTGGTGGGGTACTGGTTAAGGACTTGGTCTTTGAATTTCGGAGGCCTAGGTTTAACTCCTGAGTTTGCCACTTACAGCTGTATGGTCCAATAAATGGTGACCATAATGAAGCCCAAGCCTCATGGGGCTAGGCTTAGTGGAGAAGGGATAGAGAGAGGAGTGATAAGGTCTACAGGCCAGAGAGGGAGGCTTTCTGAGGGAACCCAACAGGGGAGGACTAGGAAGGCTGTAAACATCATGAGGCAAACCCCACATGAGCAAGAAGTGGGAGAGTGTAGACTGGACCTCCAGCCTTCTCCATGGTCCATGACAGTCTGATTCTGCCTCCACAGCTTCATCACCAAAAGGAACCGAGAGATCTGTGCCAACCCCAGTGACAAATGGGTCCAGGAGTACATCAAGGATCCCAGCCTACCTTTGCTGGCCCCCAGGAACTTGGCCAGGGTTGAAATTACTACACAAAGGAAAGGTCAACCCTAGCTCCCCAACTATCCATGATGATCAGGTCTCAGTGGAAGTCCAGGTTTAAGGAAGAAAAGTGTAACCCTAAGAAGACGTGGGCAGCCTTGTGGTCTTGGCTAACACAGTCACATTCAAAGAAACAGGCCAGTGATCACTTAAAATAAAAAAAAGTTATTATAACTATTTTGAATATTTTCTCAATCTCTGGAGGAAATGCCAAAGGCGAGGTGGAGGGGAGGGCAGGGCATACATTCTTAATACACAGAAAGACATCTTTTGCATCCTTCTCCTCTCTCTGCTTTCAATTCTCACCTCACAACAGTACACCTGTCATTTTAAATAATCACATTCAGCTCTCTAACAGCCAGACCATCTCTGCCCTGGGTCTTTACCCACTAAGAGCCCCCAGAGCTCTTGACTTGTCCTTCCAACTGTAACCGTTTTTGGATCTATTTCTTTTCCCATTATTCTTTTCTTTTCTGATATAAATCTTGGGGTCTTTCCCCCACTGATTACCTAGGAAACAACATAACATTTTCTTAGCAGGCCAGGGTGGGAATGAGGCTGCAAATATTCATATGTCAATCATTTGTGTCCCTGTGGCAAAGGCTTTGCTAGAGCCCTGCTATTTGGTCTTCCTTAGGGTGGCATGGGTACGGAGAGTTCCTAAAACAAAAGGAGAGGTACAAAAATCCAGCTCCCACACCAAGCCTTGCAGGGCAGGGAAAGGGCATTAGACTAAGTCGAAGTTACCCTTAACCCAAAACTCAAGCATGCAAGAAATGAAACTTCCTTTATTTCCAACTTGATTCCTAACTTCCTGCTCCCTTTCTGTTAGGGTGGAAGAAACTTAATCTCAGTTTTTTCAGGGCTTCTCCACATTGCCCTGAGAATATGGCCCAGGTTGGGGGCTAGAGAGTTTACATGGCACCAAGACCAGGCATATATACTCAATCTCCACCCCTTTGTCTCCAGCTCAACAGCAAGGAGCTGGCTCAGACAAAATTAAACATTCTCCCAAAATGCAGTTATAAAGGCAAAACAAAAATCAGCCACCTTTGCTTGCAGAGCCCAGAGTGGACATGGGGGGTGTGGCTCAATGACATCTGAAAGTAAGACATAGAGGTCAGAAGGACATCAGAGTGTACTACCCAGGGCAACAGGAAGTTTCAAAGTCCTTAGCACCTGGATCAAAGTCAGGGGGCGAGAGTTCAAAGGCAGGAGAGAACTGAATACAGGAAGCACTTCAAGGAGGCAGGATCCTGGCGAGTTGGAAGGGAAATGCTGCTGTTCATCTTTTTTATCTGTCAGAGGAGTTCAGGGTTGAGATGTCAGTCTGAAAACCAAGATCAATTGAAAGTCTGTGTATATACAGTCAAATCCCCACTCCAGCACAAAACACAAAGTTTGCCAGAAACTCTTAAGAGGTATGCTATGTCCTTGTTGCTGTTGCTGTTGTCGTTGCTGTTGTTGTTAGAGGCCGTCAAGTTGGCCCCCAACTTATGGCAACCACACACACAGTGGAACGAAACACTGCCCAGTCCTGCTCCATCCCCATGATCAGTTGTGGACCAGACCATTGTGATCCATAGGGTTTTCACTGGCTGATAGTTGGAAGAAGATTGCCAGGCCTTTCTTCCTAATTCAACTTAGTCTGGAAGCTCTGCTGAAACCTGCTCACCTTCATAGCAACACATAAGCCTCCACTGACAGATGGGTGGTGACTGTGCATGCGGTTCATTGGCTGGGAATTGAATCTGGGTCTCCGCCTGGAAGGCGAGAATTTTACCACTGAACCATCAATGCCCCCTTGTTATTAACCATCAAGTCAATTCCAACTCATAGCCACCCTATATGACAGACTAGAACTGCCCCATAGGGTTTCCTAGAGTGTAATCTTTATGGAGCAGATCACCAGGTCTTTTCTCCCACAGAGCCACTGGTTGGTTCAAACCACAGACCTTTTGCTTAGCAACCGAGAGCTTAACCATTGTGCCACCAGGGCTCCTTTAATGCCCCCTTAGCGCATGGTAAATGCTCAGTAGACAGGTCTTATTGTTCCAGTATCTAACTTCTCTTTAGGACCATAGAACATCAGGACAGGAAGGCACATTTCCTCACTGGTCTCTGAAGCCCAGAGAAGGAAAGCGATTTGCCCAAGGCCACACTGCTAGTCCTTGACCAAGCTGGCACTAGTACTGAGGCCATGTTTTAAACAGAAGAAACCTCTCATTTACACCAGCCTGAGGCTGTGAGCATGGGGACGACTGGGGCCATGTGACTGAGGGAGCGGCAAGCCCAGGGCCTCCTTCCATGAGCTGGCTCCCTGGAGGGCATGACCTCCATTCAACCTTTCTCGGGTTCCTGTCAAGAAGACTTTGAAGCAGTAACAGGAAGAGGCAGAAAGAGACCCTGAATCTATACAGATCCGATACAAATCAGTGACGAACTTAACCTCTCTGAACCCAGTTTCCTCATCTGCAAATTGAGGCTAGTCCCTGACAGGGCTGTTGCGACAATCCCCAGCCCCTGGCATGAGGTCTGGAACAAGTATAGTAAAATGGAAAATGTTTTTGTCCTCTTAGCAGCTAATACAAGGATCCCTCTTGGGAAGGAAACAACCTTTGTTGAAAAAATACATTGGTGGCCCAGTTAATGCAGGAAACTCCCCCAAAATGTGGCTACAGACTGGGGCCAAGGCTCCTGAGGAAGCGGTGAAGCGACTCAGTGAACCAAGAAGAGGAACCATTTTGCCGTTGAGAGCCAGAGAGGAGGAGGTGGAAAACTGAGGAGTTAGGAAGTGGCTAGAGACTGTGCGGTAAACGGCATGACCCCCTCCCTTCCCAGAGCCTCAAAACTTCCATCAGTTACTTAGTAACTGGAACACTCTCTGTGAGTGGACTAGGGGAAAGTGAAGAAAGAGAGAGGTGGGGCCAGCACTCACAGAATAAGGAATCCGAGATTGAGAAGTGGGAAGAAGTAAGCCGTTATGGATTCTCAGAAATGTCGGGGAAACTTTGGATTCCCCCAGCCTGTAGAATTGGGTAAATGAAAAGAATCCTAGCCAAATCTCCACAGGTATAGTAGGGGCTCAGTAAGTGCATACTAGGAAGGAGGGGAGGAAGGAAAGGAGAAAGGGAAGGAGGGAAGAAAGGAAGGAGGGAGGAGGAAGAAGAATTAAACAAGTATGAAAGCACTTTTCAAAATGGCACTTTTCGAAATGACTATACACATGGACCTCGCTAGACAGAATACACAGGAATCAGATCAACTACATCTGTCGAAAGAGACGATGGAGAAGCTCAATATCATCAGTTAGAACTGCAGAACAGACCCTCAATTGCTCATATGCAAGTTCAAACGGAAGCTGAAGAAAATTAAAACAAGTCCACAAGAGCCAAAGTACGACCTTTAGTATATCCCACCTGAATTTAGAGAACATCTCAAGAATAGCTTTGACTCATTGAACACTAATAACCAAAGACCAGACAAGCTGTGGGATGACATCAAGGGCATCATACATGAATAAAGCAAAGAGTCATTAAAAAGACAGAAAATTAAAAAAAGACCAAAGTGGATGTCAGAAGAGACACTCTGAAACTTGCTTTTGAACGTAGAGCAGCTAAAGTGAACGGAAGAAATGAAGTAAAAGAGCTAAACAGAAGATTTCAAAGGGTGGCTGGAGAAGACAAAGTAAAGTGTCATAATGAAATGTGCAAAGGCCTGGAGTTAGAAAACCAAAAGGGAAGAACACGCTTGGCATTTCTCATGCGAAAGAACTGAAGAAAAAATTCAAGCCTTGAGTTACAATATTGAAGGATGCTATGGGCAAAAAATTGAACGACAAAGGAGGCATCAAAAGAAGATAGAAGGAGTACAGTCACTGTACCAAAAAGAACTGGTCAATGTTCAACCATTCAGGAGGTTGCATATGATCAAGAACCAACGGTACTGAAGAAGGAAGTCCAAGCTGCACTGCAGGCATTGGTGAAAAACAAGCCTCCAGGAATTGACAGAATACCAACTGAAATGTTTCAAAAAATGAATGCAATGCTGGAAGCCCTCACAAGTCTATGACAAGAAATTTGGAAGACAGCTACCTGGCCAGCCAACTAGAAGAGGTCCATATTCATGTCCATTCCAAAGAAAGGTGATCCAATGGAATGCAGAAATTATTGAACAATATCATTAATATCACAGGCAAAAAAAATTACGCAAAAGATAATTCAAAAACGGTTGCAGCAGTACATCGACAGGGAACTGCCAGAAATTCAAGCCAGTTTCAGAAGAGGATGTGGAATGAGGGATATCATTGCTGATGTCAGATGGATCTTGGCTGAAAGCAGAGAATACCAGAAAGATGTTTACCTGTTTTTTACTGACTATGCAAAGGCATTCAACTGTGTGGATCATAACAAATTATGGATAACATTGTGAAGAATGGGAATTTCAGAACACTTAATTGTGTTCATGTGGAACCTGTACATAGAACAAGAGAGAGTCGTTCAAACAGAACAAGGGGATACTTCGTGGTTTAAAATAAGGAAAGGTATGTGTCAGGGTTGAATCCTTTCATCATATTTATTCAATCTGTACGCTGAGCAGATAATCTGAGAAGATGGACTCTACGAAGAAGAATGCAGCATCAGGACTGCAGGAAGACTCATTAACAACCTGCGATATGCAGATGACACAACCTTGCTTGCTGAAAGTGAAGAGGACTTGAAGCACTTACTGATGAAGATCAAATACTATAGCCTTCAGTATGGATTACACCTCAACATAAAGAAAAGAAAAATCCTCACAACTGGACCAATAAGCAACATCAGGATAAACGGAGAAAAGACTGAAGTTGTCAAGGATTTCATTTTATTTGGCTCCACAATTAACGCCCACGGAAGCAGCAGTCAAGAAATCAAATGACACATTGCGTTGGGCAATTCTGCTATAAAAGACCTCTTTGAAGTGTTAAAAAGCAAAAATGTCACTTTAAGGACTAAGGTGCACCTGACTCAAGC